TGGCTGTGTTAGCCGTCGTGACTGTAGTAGTGTCCCATCTTTGTGGATTCATCGTGGCTGTGTTAGCCGTCGTGACTGTAGTAGTGTCCCATCTTTGTGGATTCATCCTGGCTGTGTTAGCCGTCGTGACTGTAGTAGTGTCCCATCTTTGTGGATTCATCGTGGCTGTGTTAGCCGTCGTGACTGTAGTAGTGTCCCATTGTGCACATGTACCAGGTTCTCGGTTCATTCTGTTAGTCTGGTTTTCAATGAACTTTCCAAATAGTGCAAAGAGTATTCATATTCAACCCTACGCTTAGAACCCCAGCCATTAAAAAGGTGAAGTTGACAGCGATGGCGTAAACTAAACATTGCAGGACACTGGGAGCGTGGGTCTAGCTTGTTTTGCGGGGCCCCAAAATAACATAACGCAATATAAAGCTTGGTAGTCCATCCAAGGGAGCGAAATGTTTACAGGAGCCTGGCGTGGCGGTCACGTTAGGAATGGTCATAGGGTAGGTCAACAAAAGGGGGTCAAAGCTGCTTCTAGCAAAATAACAATTAGAACGGTGGGACCGCCTGCAAATCTCCATGTTCCCTAAAGACAAACCCACTGTGATCCGTTCCGTCCGCTGCAAACAGGAACACATGCACAAGCAAGCACGCACACACACGGCACGCACGCACGCACAGGTATGGCCTCCCTGCGGTGCAGTGTCACCGCGCAGTGAGCGGTGGCTGAGAACTTGGTTCCGTTTCAGGCTTGGAACGAGCGCTCACGGCCTCCTGCAGCCCTTCCTTCTCGGACGCGAGGAGCCAGGAAGACAAGGCGGCGCTGGTGGACCAGGTAAATATTTGCCCGGTGCAATTTCCTACGGCTGTTTTTAGGAAACCTGCCGCCTGGCACTTTGCACCTCTGTTCGCCTTTCCTTTCTTGTGACAGGGGCCAGCTCGGCCACTTAGGGAGAGTCACCCCTCTGCACGCAGAGAGGGAGCAGGGAAATCCCACTAGCTAGGACTGCTGCTGTGGTACCCTCTGGGACACTGTGCCCCAAACTGCACCCCCGCAGGCAGAGCCATCGCTGGGACCCAGAACCCACGTGTACCGTAATGCCGTCGAGATGAGACCTACAGGCGCCCTGCATTCAGAAAGACTTGTATTTGGTTCTAGCCCCGCCATTGACCTGGAACTGGACAATTTTGGAGTCTCTGAGGGGTGCCAATGGTGAAGCACGAGCTCAGTGACCCACAGAGAGGATGGCAATTGGAACACACCGTGGAAGAAAGGCCTGGCAATCCGATTCGGAAAGGCCACAGCCATTAGTGCCCTGGGGAGTGCAGGTCAACTCTGAGACACACGGGTCGCTGTGATTGGAATCAACTTGAAAGCTAATGGCTTTTTGAGGGAGGGCTTGCATTTTCTTGTCGGGAGAACGAAGATATCACACCTACCTCTTATCATTTCAGTGAGAATGAAATGTGATTTAGAGAATGCTAGCAAGAGTCCCGGTGGTATAGTGGTGTTCGTTTGCTAGCCACCTGGTTGGTAGATCAAAACCACCTGCCTCTCTGCTAGAGAAAGATGAGGCTTTCTACTCCTGTAAAGAGTTACAGCCTGGGAAACTCACAGGGGAAATTCTACCCTATCCTGTATGAGTTGCTGGAGATCAGAATTGACTTAGCTAGTTAGTAAGTTAGTAAGTATTTTAGGCAGAGTGTTTGGTCCAGAAAAAGAGCCCCAAACTGCTAATTATTAGTAAAATGCCACTTTCTACTCAATTGCTAGCTGCCATCGGGGCCCTGAGCGAATCACAGGAGAAATGAAGGACAGCGCTGTGCAGAAGGAG